AGACGAAGAGAAGAAGAAAAGGCGTAGGGAAAACATTGAGGTTTCAGTAAGCAATTTACTATTTACTTCTAACGTGTAAGGAGCATTTCTTGACAAATTAACAAGGTTAAACTAAATATTTGCATGATTATTTTATATGCTTGAGTGAAATGATTTACATTGTTAATTACATATTTTATGAACATATATGAATTGATTATTTTGGCATGCAAAATTCAAATTATTAAATACTTGAGATAAATATTGATATATGATGCAATTGACGGTGAAAAAATAATTAAATATGAGATGATGTATAGACATGAGAAATATGTAATGGTATTGGCATGCATAATTCATAAAGTATTTCGTTAGACTTTTTATCTATAAAGGGTTTCTATTTCTCCTCCTATCTGGTCTGAAAAGACGTAAGATGACCGCTCTTTGTGGATGACGACGTACTCTTTAATGAGAGTGGTGACGTAATATGATTGTAGGGGTCACCTTTGGTGAACTATGGTTGTGGGCATAGTTAACATATAGGACCACTGTAGTTGGCACGACCGTGGTCATAGATCATGTTATGGTTTGGCAAGTAGTAAATGTGTTGTTGGTTTGATAAGTAGTAAATTGTTGTTATAAATGAAATGAATTGGTCATTCCACATCGGTAGTCAGAATCCGTATTGTCCTCAATAAATAGAAGTTGGAACGACTTCGCACGAAGAATAAAATGAAAAATAGTGCATTTTGTGATTTATTTGATTTTCTCAATTAATTTAATTGACACGATGTGATTAAGATGCAGTGGATTTGATGTTTTTATTGATAAAATAAAATGTTTTCATAATTGATAATGAACCCCAACATGATTCTTGATGGTAAGTGACAATAGTACATTTAATTACTGTTAAAATCTTATGATGTTATTTAAATATTATTTTTCTTACTGAGTATATAGAACTCACTCATTTCCATGCTCCCTCCAGATGAAAAAGATAGTGAGGAACCGATTATCGACCTACCCCTTGAATCTTTGAGGATCCCGTGGATCCATAAACTTTTATAAGTACATGACTTATCTCGCACTCTAATGATTCTATTTACAAAATGATAGAAGTGACCTTCTTTTATATTTTGTTATTTTGTATTGTCACCATTTTCTAGCATCAGATGTATATGTAATTGGGAACTTATATATTTTATAAGGGATTTGTGATTATTTATTTTGCTACATACATTTATCTATTATGCACTGATAATTTGTTTTTATATCTGGTACCCTTTTACTTTAATTAATATTTGGGATATCACAATCATTATTTTCTTTTGATAGTCTAAAAGAAGGAGAAAAAAGTTCTGATAGTTTATATACACAACCTAATTCTGATAAGTGATGATGTAGAATAAATTGAGAGATTGAAGAAAGTTTTTATCACTGAATTGGAAATCAAGGACCTAAGACCAATGTGACATTTCTTAGAGGTTGAAGTTGCTATATTAGAGATAGGGATAAGCATTTCTCGAAGAAAACATATATATAAGCTCTTGACCAAAACTGGTATAATAACATGCAAACCAAGAGATACACTATTAAGAAAGTTGGCTAAAATAGAAAAATATCATAAATTAGTTGGCAAATTAATTTACTTATACATATTCGACCAGATATTGCCTTTATAGTCAATTTAGTTAGTCAACATGCACTCACCATCAGAAATTCACTTAGATGATGTCTATAAGATTCTCAGCTATCTCAAAGGCCCTTCAAGAAGGGGTTTATTCTTTAAGAAGACTGAAACCAAGGGAATATAACTGTTTATATAACGAATTATTCAATAGCAATAAAAGATGGAATATCTATTACTAGTATTGCATGTTTGTTTAGGAAACTTTAGTCACATAAAGGAGTAAGAAACAAAATATGGTGGCAAGAAGTAGTGCTAAAATAGAATTTAAAGCAATGACAGAGAATTTTTAAAGGCTTATAACTAAAAGAATTTTTAGAGGAGCTGCAACTAAAAGCCAAGTTATCAAAATAACTATACTATAATAACAAGATCGTCATTATCCCTCAATCTTATACAATATGATAAAACAAAACATGGAAAAACATATCAATTTTTTATTAAAGAAAAAATGGAAGAATGTCTTATCTACATGATATGTGTGCCTACCAAAGAGTTAATTGCAAACATCTCACTAAAGGACTTCATTAATAAAGGTTTGATATTTTTTTTACAAGTTGGATATGATTGATATTTATAACCGAACTTGAGGGAGAATGTGGACATTTCATATATTAGAGGTTATGATTCACATTTAATGACATAAATCATTATGAAAATGCAAGTGTTATAGGATTGTGACTGACATTTAATAACAAAAAACTAGTAATTGATTTCACTAATTAATTAAGTGTATATTTTATAAATAATTAGGAGTAGTCAATTACTTGGTTTGTTTCCATTTTGTTGACCCTTGTACCATAAAAAGAGGAAAAAAAATTATATAATTTTATAATAATAGAAAAAATTACAGATTTCAATTTTGTTTTAAGGTGGAAAGAGCTAACGAGTCATGTGGTTTAGGAGTTTAGAACTTATGTAGTTAAGTTCCTATAAAAAATTAAAAATGATTAGAACAAAGTTAGCTCTGAGTTGCATTAAACTAAAATCAATTAACCTCCAATTCTCGTAATGGTGCAAATTTTAAAAGCAAAATCTTAATTGCAACTCTTTAGACCGTAATGAGTTTCTTTCCTTGGTTAAATTTTCTAGTTCTTAAGCATGCCAACATGAAAATGTAGCATTTATAAATTTGTAATTGTTGAAATTAGAAACTTATGTTTGTGTTCAATACTTAGCATAAGAAAAGAAAAAAAAAAGAGATAAAAATGATGAATGAATAAGAACAAACATGAAAGAAAAATCATGATAAAGAAAGTGGTAAAATTTACTTTGATTTGTGATTTTGGTGATGTGAATTATTATGAAGAGGTTTTCCCTTCAAAGAGGAGGCAATTGGATCTTATAAGAAGACTTGAGATGGCCAAGAATAATTCATCCTTTGAATTTTCATTTTTATTTCATTTTTTTAAATGTATTTTTAATTTTTTTTTCCATATCAATTGTAAAGTATTTGTTCTAATTATTTAGTCTATACTACCTACCTTATATCACTCTGAACCGTAAAAAGTTTTTATTTAAACAAATAATTTATTTGTTGTCAAGTTTTTCTTTTAATAATCGATGAAAATTTTAATTTTTAAATTTATTAATTTTATATAATTTTTATCCTCTCTCGTTAATGTTATGAAAGATGAATGTGGAAGTGATATCTCGTTCTGCAAATGAATTCACTAGAGAATAAAAGCCAAGATTTTGGGAAACAATATGGTCTCATTCTCTCTCTCTCTCTATATATATATATTATACTCTCTTATTTGCTATGTAATTTATCAGTTTTATATTAAAAAAATATATAAATAATGAATTTTATTTAAAAATTCAAGTTGCATATTACTAATAATTTGAACTTGAATTTCTAATACCATGTGACTAAGGTTCAAAAAATTATTAAAGTAGCCGTTTTTGGATCCATGATATTATATAAATGTCATCTTGAAGTTTGTTATTAATTTTAACTACACCAACTTCCTAGTTACAATACGTTGAACGAATTTAAGCTCTCAGTTTGAAATCGTAAAATACAAAATTAAGAAGCTACCAAACTGATTTAACTTTTTTTTTTATTATTTATTTAATTCAGAATTTAAATAAGTTGGCAACAAATTGTTCATCTTTATTTCTAAGATACCGCACAAACCAAAAGTAAATATTTTAAAAAATCATAACTAGAAAAATATCAACTACAAAAATCATAATAGATTTGTTTAAGCTTATGGAAGTGGTTTAATAACATTAAACTAGACGAGCTTGGAATATGTTAGGATCTTACTGAAATTCAGTAAGAAGATTAAAAAGAAGTTGTTGTAATTGAAAATTATTCAGTGAAAAACAATATGAAAATTTGTTAAAAATTTAATATTTGTTTTATAATTCATTGAATTAATTTACAAATTTATAGTGTTCTATGTGTTTTTATTACATAATGGCGTCATTATTAGTGAAAATTTATTGGTATATACAAATATCACATAATTAATAAAATATATAAGTTATATATGAATTTTTACATAAAAATAATAATTTTTATATTATAGTCGACCTACTTCTTGATACTAAATTAATTTTTTTTTTGAGAATTAGAAACATATTAAGATTTTATTTATATTATAGTAATTATACATCATATACCATTAAATACTTTTGACAACACATAACCTTTTATATTATCTTGAAAAAATTATTTAGTATTATGTGTATGTGTAAATCCTTTAAGAACAAATTATGAACATTTATGTTGTAACTATCAAATGTTAGTGAATATCCCTAATATAGTTACAATGTTTAGATAATTTATAATTAAATTAATATTTATTTTGATACATATTTGTATTCAAATTTAATCACTGATATAAATTAATTTAATACTATGTAGTTTTTATTCATTATATATGTCAATGTTAATAATTATTATACATTACATTCTATAATTTAATACACTAAATTTAAAATTTTACTTACTGTTAGTCAAACCATAATATATTTTAAATAAGTATGTTGATGGGTATGTTCCTAATAAGGATGGACATAATGGAAAAATATTAAAAAAGAGAATTAAATACTTTACCACTTCTCCTAGTAACAATCCATTTTCTTCCATTTGCTGAATTTTATTCAAGTTATTTCAATTAATATATATATATATATATATATATATATAGAGAGAGAGAGAGAGAGAGAGAGAGAGAGAGAACGAAGATGATCAAAATTCCATCATCATCTCATTGAATTTAACTTTGGAAAAGTAACTAAATGAGCCAAGCAATAAGGTCAAACAAAAATTGAAGAAAATGAGGCATTTGAGTATGGCTAATAAAAAATTACAAGAGCAGTAGATTATGGTAAGAGGTAATTTTATGATTGATTAAATATGAATATACAGATGATGATGGTTTCATCATACACCTTAAAAGCAAATAGAATGAAGAAACGAAGGCAGTTTAAGATGTGGAAATTACAGTTGGAGGTTCAACTCGCATTTTTAAACAATTGAATTCCAGAGCCAATATAGGCTTTGATAACATCACTGAAACTGATAAGCTTACATTATCATTCTCTTCTCCTTCCTCCTCTGACCCTTTCGATACTTTTGCCGGCTTCACTGCTCGTACTCTATGCATTATTCGTTTCGACAAACCATATTTCACAAATCAAATCTTCCTCTAGAAAAGTTCTTTCTAACTTAGCACAGGGAAGATTCAAAACAAAAATACCTGCACTCAAGATTGCAACAATACTTCAAGAGCTTCGGATTATACTCGGTATTTCCGCTGCAATTTCACAACAAAAGCTAACCTGTAAGCACCTCTCAGAAGCCCAATTCTCTAATGAATAATCCAAGTTCAAGTTTACCTAAAACTTGGGAGTGACATTTTTATTGGTGGTCCCATCCACTCACTGAACTTCGGTTGAGGAACTGTTATCACCAAACTCATTACCAGAAGCAAAAATAATAACAAGTCCTCACTGACTTCAACAATCCGCATTGATCAACTAAATTTACAAGGCATGGAGTAAAACCCAAAAGAAGTAGCTAATTGAAAATATCAATTTCCCTAAGATGATTCTACATCTCAAAAAACATAAACTCCGTAGGAACCGGATTATTGAGAGTATCAATTATTAGCAAGATTGGTATATTAAACCCACCATCAGTAGAGAGTTTGATAATGCAGATATCTGTTGCAGCAGGACCATCAATTTCAGTCACATCAATATCCATGAGATTCTTCTCATGAGATAGTTTCCTACCCAAACCAATCATGTTTAGAAAGCCATTGAATTTACCCTCTGATGTACTTGGCACTGCTGTCATTCTCTGTTTTGTACAGAAAGTGCAAATTAGATAAAGGACTTCAATATTGTTTCAAGATTTAAACTGTCCATTAATTTGATTTTGCAATTTGTGTATCATGAAGAGTAAAATCCAGTTGCAACACTAATTCTTCTGGCATGTAAGATTCATACCTTGCTCTTTGGAGGTTTCAAGTGTCTGTAGTGTACCAATTGGAGATAACACTTGATCTAAAATCAAGTTTACCTCTTCCCAAAAAAATATATCTGGTTTAGTACTAATCCTACCCTGTACGAGTTTTTAACATTCAAGGGTTTTGAGAAAACATTCTCAAACAGGAATCTTCCTCGTGTCAGGGCTCTATCCTCAACCGGCAGCACATAGCTTACAGGGCAAACTCCAAAGCCTCTCAGAACCCCACTCCCTGAATTTCCAATAATTCCAATTCTTTTAACTCACTGATGTTATACTCACTAAAATAACAATGTAATGTTACTTAGTTTGCTGATAATATATCTCATGGATTATCGCCATTTATGACAATATATTGCTGCCTGAACTGTGAAGTTTGTCTGGTTGCTGACAGTTCTCGAGATCTAACCTATGAAATATTTGTCATCACTGATCTACTGATACGGCTTCAAGATCTTGTCTGGAATCGTAAGTAACAAAGTAGCTAATTGGTTGCTAACCTAAGTTTGAGGGGAATGTATAGTGTATCTTCATTTATAATTTTTTCTTGTACAAGTTATTTTCCTTTATGGATTACTCCCCGTACAGCTTATGCTTCTTTATGATCTATGTAACTTATTATTATTTTTTCATAATTCTATAATATGAATATGCATCTATAAATATGGTTTCTCTGAATGATGGAATGAACACATAAGTATTCTTTTCCACTTACAGGAAGTATTCTTTTCCATTTAAGGGAAGATTAATTGTCCAATTTGTTAAGGGGAATGTTAACAATGACCTTGAGCAACACCTCTTCTCCACTCCCACCCTCATACGATAGCAAACTTCCTAATCCATGAGGAGATTGGTTCGGAGATTTGACCCAAGACCTTATATAATAATTAATTAATCATTTATAATTCGAGATTGAAACAGAAAATAGTAGGATGGTTGCTGCAAATAATAGTTCAGACTTCAAGATATCATGATATGAGCTCTTTCCATTAACTTGGATAAGTGTCATGACAGCAATAATAAATTATTATTTGCATGAAAAATGATTACCTTCGAAAACTTGGCAACCTGACTTGGAAGCCCAACATCCTGTAAAACAGAAGCCAGCAAAAGCTTCAGTAATCAAAGAGAAAGACATGTAAACTGTGCCCCTAACATTCAATGGTATCAAATCATATCCCAACTGTCATAGAATGTATTTCGGGAGAATGCTAGCGTACAAGTCACAAGGAGATACAGAAATAATACAGCAACCTTTCTATCTTGCTTGTCCAGATTTTCCTGCATTCTCTTTCCTAGATATTTATCGAATTTTATCTAGATAATTAGTCAACATCTCTTTAAGATATATAAATCTAAGACATTATAGCTAAAGAGACCTTTGAATAAAAAGGCTTGAAATTTTACAAGTTTTTGGCAATTAAGTTTCCAAGATTTCTCACCTTCCGTCCATGGTCACAAGCCTCAGCACTGTTCACAAGGACCTTAGCAGCCCATCTGTTGATAATAGAGATGAAGTGGTACTCATTTAAAAATGAAAGAAAAATAATAGATGCTTTTGAACGTCTAATTGCATATATATATCTAACTTTTTGTGGTTTCCATCATGATTATATTTTAAATCAGGAAAGGGAAAAACCAGCTATCTTAGAGCACATAAGGCCCACTGAATAGAAAACCATGTGCTTCATGTGGGCTTAAAAAAACATAGTGATTTATTGGATACATGAATCTGGCTCATCCAGTCAGACAAAAACAACTTGCCAGTTGCTGAAGTCACTTTGGGAAAAACTCAAGACACTAGAAAATGTGACTCTATTCTTTAAAAAATTTACTCTTTTCATGGTATGATTTGATAAACACTTTTGAGATTTTCAAGTTTCAAGTGGACTGACCAATAACATATAAGCATATAAGTTGAATAAGCATGAGTTAAGGATGACATCCACCATAACTGGAGCAACTCACACTCGGCTTTGCTACCTCAACCAAATTCCTACTGGGCAAGGAATACTCTGGGATATTTTCTGCTAGAAATTCCGACTAGGAAGACGATCAATTTCTTGCATATGGGAAATTTACTTTATATACCAGTACGAAAATAACATAGGGGAAGAAGCAACATACGCGCATGATGTAGGGGGGTTCCAAACAATCCCTGCAATCACCACCAGCTGAAACCAAAACACCACCAGAGAAAAGAGCTGAATTGATTCAAACAACACAGATCATTTCACACGTGCTCTAATGCTGAACAACCATAAATTAATCCATAAACACTTTGAAACAGAAGTAAAAAAGAAGACTAGCACAACCTCATCGAAAACCCCAACTGGACTGTCATCATAGCTAGCAAGGAAAAATCCACCAAGAGTGTATCTGCAGCATGAAATCCCGGGTTATTACTATGACAAAAAAGGAAGAATACATCAACAAAATATGCCCAGTTGACGTAAATATGATTTTACCCAAAAGCTTCAACTAATCTGAAGTCCTTTGGGATGAATGCTCGAGCAGTTTCTGCCTTCACAAGATGGAGTTGGTACAAAGCACTGAAATGAAGAACCATGGCTGTTAACAATAATGGCCTTGATATACACTGAAGAAAGACTGATAATTCAACAAAGGAAATGGCAGAACACAAAAAGCTTACCTTCCGCTAAATAACCATGGAGGTTTGCCATAGCCTGATGAATATCTGGTTTCTTCAACTTCCATGGACCTCATATAAGCTTTGAAGAAGTCAGTACTTATGTGTTATGTAGAAAGAAAAAGCTATAACTTACGCCCAATCCAACAGATTTCCATCAAAGGCAACAACCAACAATTTAAGTTAGCTGGAAGATAGGTTGTATGTGTCATCCACAGAAAAGACATGGAAGTACAGCAGTACACTGAAATTTAGGAAAGAAGACAAGTTTTCGGGTAAATGGCAGACAATTATATGCAAGTTGGATAAAAAAAATTTATAAAAAATTCTCGTATGACCACTTAAAAACCCTTTGATCCAAAACATGAGTAAAAATGGCCAAATTCAAAGCAAACTAGTAAACTGAATAATTCATAAGAGTGGAAAACCAGCTTTAAATGGTGAATTCCAAAAACAAGTAAAAGAAATAATGATTTACAGTGTTTTCTTTATTTCTCTATTGAAAAAACCGGGCCCAAATTCACCAACAGAAGCAGACGATATGAGTAAAACCCAGATGACCCAAATAAGAAGAGCAGTAAAAACAACTTACGCACCAAGAAAAGTAGAAATTAAGAAAACCCACCTTCAAACCGGGGAAAGATGCAGAGGGGAAGCAGCAAAATCCTGACTAGGCAGAAAAATTCAGGTAAAAAGAAGAAGGAGACGACAAAGGAGAATTTGCATGGAAAATAAGTGAAAGGTGAAAGGGGAATTAAAAGGGGAAAAGCTAAACGAACCGACAAAGAAGACGTGGATAGACTTTCCATTTGGCGCCAACTGAATATAACAAAACTCTCCATTACGAACACTCGTGTTTCGGGGTAAAATTCAATTCGCTTACTTTATAAAATAATCAAATTCAACTTCTGATGCCACTAGCAATTAACCAATTTTTACTTTTTCACTTGGTAACACCAGGTAGCTAAGCTTGGTGTGAAGTACTATAAAAAAAAAAATTAAGAATAAATAAATTATTTTGAGTTCAGAATTATCATTTATTATAATTGTCAAGGTTAAAATTATGAGAGTATACCAAAGAAATAAGTTTTTAAAAGATATATATAACATTTTTTACAATTAAGTGGCATCATGTATGTTTTCTTCAACATTTGACATAAAAAATGCACTAATAAAGTAAGTAAGATTTTTATGAGTAGGCCCTTGAAATGATTGTCGATAGCCATTTGGCAAGCCTACGAACCAAAACATTATATCCTCTAAAATTCGAAGCTCATGAAAAATTAAATGCCACTGGAACTCTATAATTTTCCATAGAACTTATTCAATACACTAGTCATGCACTATGTGATGTGAGCACGACCAAGTCAAGAGAGACATTCCGAAAATCTAAGCAATGTCCCATCCCAAACATGCAAACTGTTTTGGATTCTTTTGTTTCCTAAACAAAATCGTCTAAAAGAGGAAAGTATTTATACCCCTAACCACTTTTTTAATTGAGATTATTCTAAATAATAAGCCAAGTTTGTTCAACTAAGAAAATTTAAGGTCTATTAATAGACCCGTCGGCTTGAAAAATCTCAAGGTGAAGTGGAAGGACCACTTTTGGGCCCAGCCCAAGAAGAGAGTAAGGCCAATCGACCTTGGGGAGTTGCAGGCATCACATGTCGTGCATGCGAACCTCTTTGTTCACATGTGTGGGCAACCACAAATGTATGAAAGCACATCCACACATCTTTTCCTGCGTGAGAGACAAGCTACAATGCTTAGGAGGGCCTTCAGCGCATGAAAGGAGGTGTGCGCTTGTGCGGAAGTGCCATGCTGCACATGCGGACAACTGCACGTATGGGAGGAAGCTTCCACCCACATAGGTGAAACATGTGGGCAAAAAACTTTTTCGATAAGGATTATACCTTTTCCAATTTTCTACATGTGATTTTTGTGGTAGATTTTTCAAAGAGAATTCCTCATCAATTTAAAGTCTATATGGAGTTTAAACGCACGTGGAAAATATGGTAAAAGGAGGGAGAATTATCTATTAGATGTATTTAATTAATATTTTATTATTAATTCTTATTCTTAGGATTATTTTATTATTATTTTGGAATTTAGATTAGGATAGATTATTTTAATTAATATTTTTGTTGTTTCCTAGTCTAATTAAGCTTAAGAATTAAAGTATAAATATGTAATCCTACTTCTAATCGTATTAGAAAATTAAAGCCTATATAAAGACTCCACCATTAGTTTTGTAAACACAACTTACAACTTTTAGATTAATAAAATTTCAAGCTTTATGCTTCTAAATTAGCTTTGCTAGTTTTGAAACTGTTCTTCAAGTATATTCAAGGTAGAGAGCTTCAGACCGCTTTGTTGTGTCGATAATTCAGAATTAACTTATCGAGTAGTCGTGGTATCTTTTGATGGGTGTCAAATCCACCAAGAATAAACTTCCATTCAAACAAGAAAACAATATTGTAGGAGATGGTGGAATCCATAAGTAATTGAGTTCTAATGTTCTTTTACGACCAACAATTAAATAAAAATAAAAGGAGGGGTTTTTTTGCTTTGAGTTGAAATTGAATAACCAATTGATTAAAACAAACCAGCAAATAAAAAAATAAATAAAATGAGATTGACATAAAATAATTCAGCAAAATAAGAAAATAACAATCAATTTTGAATAGGTTTTCAGTTAAATAAATAATATATGTTTCAATACACAAGATTGATCATTGATGCAAAGATAATTCTTACTAATTCTCAATAAACAAGTTCTAGCTATTGGAGACGCTCCTAATAGTTAATCTTTCCTTAATTTTAAATTAACCAAGAGACACTCATTGATTAGTTCTTACTAATGAACAACCCTGGAGACGCTCTTAGAGTTTAATTCACCAATAGCATTAAAAACTAGAAAGATCCGATTATAACCAACAAATTTAACCGCATGATTCATTTAGATTAGATTAAATATTTTTTTAATATGAACACTAATTTACCATTAGTTATCAGGATATCCTGAATAATTAGGGATTCAGAAATTTCGAATGGTGATATGCTATTGCGCTGACACACAATGGGCCCTATTATAACAAATAATAAACATCAATATTCTTATGCACAAAAGAATATATAAATATTAAAAATAAAGAAGATTAAAAGTAAAGCAATTAGATCTCATTACCTTTATATTGAAACTTTTATTAAATCCTTTACTGAAAGATAGAAGTATCTAACACTCATAGTGAGATTAATACTTTTAAAGTAAATAGAGAGAAATTGTAGAAAAATAAAAGGGAAATCTGCTCGTTAACTTCTTCTCCCGTTTTTCGGCTCCCTCGTGACTCTCCTTTTCTTCTTCTATTTAAAGAGTGAGGTTGTGTGCAGTTAGGATTTTTTTTTCTTTGATCTTAGCCTCTTTTTATTTTTTAGAAGTATTATTTTTACTTGGTTTCTTGCTTCTATCGTTTTCTTTGAGTTTGAAAGAATTCTAAAGATTAATATTTGTTGTTCCTGCTAGGGTGTAAGCCTTATCCAATGCTTACCCATGTACGAACAAATATCTGTTGTTAGAGCCACCAGGTGCAAGTCTTGACCAAGGCTTAAGCATATATGACAATTTTGTGTGCTAAATCAATTATGTTGCACTGTTTTTCGGATATTCAGTCTTATCTTCTCACCTGTATTAAAATTTAGCAAAATCCCTTAAGTTAGCCAGTAAGTGACTCAAATAAGTAATAAAAGTGACGTTTATGCACACTATCAAATTCTTCCACAATTATCTTGTGCTTGCCCTCAAGTACCACACAATACAAATCTCTAACTCTCAACTCTTCACCTCAACCCATTTATTCCTAATCATTCCATTATAACTTGATTTGTCACATCTCGATTTTCAAATTAAAAAGACAATCATCAACCAGTAGTTGGTAGAATAGAATTTCATGTAACTACATAAACGAATAATCGTTTTGACTAATATCTAAACACGACATGAGAGAGTATTGCAAATTTTAGCACAAAGAATTTCCATTGAGAAAAATAACCAATCCGTAGTAGAATAACTACCAAATCTGTTTAGACATAGAGCTTTCGTGAATCTGATTCATGGATGCTTAAGTATGTTGTTTAAGTTTAAAAAGCTACCATAATGAAAGCATTATAGCTTTGACAATAACTTCATTGATAATCTTTATCCCTTACTATAAGTAGATAATAATTTGTTATTATAAGGGTTATTAAAAAGTAAAACATGATTGTCTTCCTTGTTCCTCTATGGAGTCTTTTTGACATTTAAGAAACAAATAATTATACATGTCTCCTCCCATGTTACAAAATTGATAGTCACTACAATTTTGATAAGGGTCTTGAGAGAAAATCGTTAAGCTCATGTGAATTTCTCTACCAAATGTCTTTTGACAATCTTGAATTTTAGACTTCATCATTTCTTCTAGTCCTTGAATCTATATCTAAGTCCAACCTTAAAGCCTTTTGATGCGGAACTCAGGATCATAATGCAATTCAAAACTCATAAATACACAATTAGCATCAAAATTTATTCCCATTTAACTCGCAATCAACATGTGATTGG